CTGTTCCTGCAGACTCCATGCTTTAGAATGCAAAGTGTGTCCCTGGAAGCTTTCTGTGGACAGCCAGAAGGCCTCAGAGGTTTCAACCCATGCTCTGGGCAAAAAACTGGGAAAATGCAAACCTTAATGCAAGCAGGCTCTGCGCTGGCACATTTTTCCTTCTCCGGCCCGCCACACCACCAAAACTGCCTGTAGACTCACGGCCTGGATGGCTACTGCTGCTTCTTCTTCTGGTAGCTTCGCTTGGCTTGGCCGAGGACCTGGGCTATGTCTTCTTCGCAAATGGTTTGGATGATGGCCGTGAGCTGGTTGGGCTCCAGTTGGACTATCAGGTCGCTGGCCCTGGGGCGTTTCCCCTGCATCAGGCAGTGCACCTGGGTCTCCTTCACCAGAAACAAATTTCTTCGCCACTTGGTGGTGGTGGCCCCCGTTTCTTGGATGGCTTGGGGGCAGGGGCATCCTCGAAAAGTTGCTCTGGTGCAGCAGCTGGCGGCTTGTCAAACTCCGCATTTCTTTTCTTGGTCAAGTTCTGCATGGCAGCCGAACTGCAAAGACTGGCATTGACATGGCCTCGTCGACCTGTTAGCAACTGCACAATGGGCTGTGATGTTGCCCGAAGCTGGACATAGGTCTTCTCGTTCTTCTGGTGGGGCAGCTCCACTGGGATCAACACCTTGGGTTCCTGCTCGTAACGGATCCACGACGTGGGAAACTTCCGCCATGCTTGCACCGCTGGCAAATCTGGGCAGGTATCTGGGATGTCGATGCTACGGCCAGAATGGCTGCTTCAAAACCCTGGCAAAAGCATGACATGGGCACGGTGTCATGGCCATGTAGCTCTCCTATTCACATGTACATGGTGACATCACATGTCAAACAGTCGTCTGAGATTAAAACAACATATCTTACAAAATTCAAAAAATATAACTCGTTCTGCTCATAGCTGTCATAGCTTTCTTCCGAAATAGACAATATGTTTCTGCAAAGATATTTTATTCAATCAAGAGAAAGTGCCCTTCAATATATTGCATGACCCTTTAATTCCTGGCATCATCAGTCGCCAAAAGGATATTCGTCATGCAATATGCCTTGAAAATGCTTCATTCTTCTATTCTGGAAATATGTATATCCATGGCGATAACTCCATCTAACTCACCCTAACTTTTCTAAACAGTTAATGCAACCCAGCTTTGTGTTGCTACTGCTAAGGTGCTGGGCTTGCAAAGTTTGCAGCTGCTGCACTCCCAACAATACGGCATCAAGCACAGTGTTACGTGACGTGGGAGGGCCTTGGGTTCCCCCGGCGACACACTGGCTGCTGCCTGTGGGATTGGGGCGGCCGCAGCTGACTGGAAAACAGAGTCCGACGGGCTGGAAAATGGTGGTTTGGGCCAGAAGAGGGGGAATCCCCTGCGCGCCAGCTGTTGAGCTGCTAGGGTGCCCAGGCCTTCCGGGTGGCCTTGCATTGCTAGGTAACCTTTGGGAACCTTGCAACCCCGACCAAAAGTTAGACCATGACCCTGAAGCTGCTCTGCCTCTGCTGCTGCTGCTGTTGCTGCTTGGGCGGGTGCTCTCAAAGCCTGAGCCGCCTGGGTTGCGGCAACATGGACCTGATACTCGATCGGAGTGTGCACCCGTGCATCCTGAAGGGGTGGCCTGGGAACCTCATCCGGGTTGTTGGAGCTACCGGGGCACTACCTGCCACTGCGGTTTCTCTCCTTACTTGCTCCCTGAGGGCTCGTTCCCTTTGTGCGGCCTCCTCCAGTTGCCTCCGCATCCTCTGTATTTCTAGGTCCTGCACCTGCGCTCGCTGATCAAACCCCGCTAACTGCCTTGCAACCTCAGCTTGAATGGCTTCTTGAGGCAAAGACGATGAATCTGTTCTTGATTGGGGCGTCTCGGGCATACCTGCATACAATAAAAGAGCCCTCCGTTCCAAAGCTTGCATGCGCTGCAACATGTCCGCTCTCAACAAAGGGCCATCCCGCCCGGGAGGCGGTGCAAAGGATGTTGGCGTACCATGCGCTCCCAACTGTGGTGGCGAACTCGTATGGGAACCCAAACTCCCATCTCCCAAGGCCATGGGCCCTGAAGCACAGCTCGGACTATCACGGGTATGTGATGTTGATGTTCGTCGTGGTATGGCGTGTGTGACTTGCAACACTGCGGGTACCTGCACCACCTCAGTGCGCGCTACACGGAAAAGTCCCCAACTCGCGTCATAAGCTGGAGCCCTGTACTAGGGAAGCCCGCAACCATCTCGGCTATGGTTGGCAATCCCTGCTGTGACCGTGGGGTCACAAACCCCTCCGTGGAAGCACCAGCGACTGCGTCACCACTCGCGGTACCTAACATGCCAGTGCTGGCCTCAAGCCCGCGGCTCCCGCCCGGCCCGACATTGCCGGGTATCGGCACAACCATCTGTACGTTATCACCGCCTTCAGTGGCGGTCGACACCTGTGGCATGCCCCCTGAGTCTGCACAAACCCCCGGGCGTGGTCTATGCCTCCAAGAGCCCCTCCCGTAACCATAGGTTCGAAGCCCATTCTACCTGTTGGACCATGTGCAGGTGTTGGCAATTGAACCTGGTGCATGTTGCAAACGTTTGCAAACCATCCCTCCCGGGAGGTGGGGAATGACTGCTGTGCTGTGGTGCCGTAGCTCTGCCCAAGCGTTGGGCTCATAACCTGAAGAAGCTGATTCAAGCGTGTAGAAGGTCGCATGAATGTTCTGCCCACCTGCCTCCCGCCCTGACATCCACAAGGGACGATGCAGGGTAGGGGGACAACGCACCGGGGCAACCGGCTCTTAAGGGCTACAGCTTGGCTTCAGCACTTCAGATGATTGCCAACATTCACCTTGCAAGAGGCTGGTTGTTCGAGGTCACTCGGATGCTTGCTCCTCTACTATGCAAATTTTCCGGTACACCGGAGTTCGGGAGTAGTTCGGGGGTTGCTCCTTTCTTGTTCGAGCCCAATGGCCAGAAGGCTGGCCAATCCTGGATATCGACGCTCTACACACGATTTGCACTTCTCCAGACTATCTGTCCTTGGCTCTTTTTGACCTTCATCTCCAACGTGCAGGGCCATATATGCTCTCGGGTCCCGGGCCCCCACCCCCCCCCCCCCCCCCCCATGGTATCCTCCCCCCCCCCCCGGAGCCCTTTTCTGTGCTCCAAAACCGTCAACTGTCACGAGGATGGCGCCCCTCACCGTGCACGTCTCCCACATGAAGACACCACAACCGGTAACCGTCACGAGGATCGCGTTCCAAACACGCCCGATCCTTGTGACAGTGGACACCTTCCGTCCGAACCCAGGCAACTGTGAACAGGACCGCGTCCCTGACAGGCCCGATCTCTGTGCCCAATTGTCAGGAAGATTGCCAGTGTGACACAAGATAAATAAACAGAAAGGAACGACATGATGATGATCATGATGATCATGTTCATGATCTTGATGATGGTGATGATGGTGATGATGGTGATGGTGATGGTGATGATGGTGATGATGGTGATGATTATTATACCAAACAGCCCAAGCAGGCCCAAACCCCCAAGCACGCCACAGCGGGAGGGAGGCACCTTACGCAGACCCAGGGGGAGGCACCCCACGCAGACCAAAACCCCGAACCACGCCACATCACAGGGGGGGAGCAGGGGGACCATCATTTTCATGATGATGATCATGATGATGATGATGGTGATGCTGATGATTATACAAAGCACCCCAAGCAGACCGAAACCCCGAACCACACCACACCACAGGGGGGGGGAGGCACCCCACGCAGACCCAAACCATCCCAAACCCCGAACCACACCACACCACACCACGGGGGGGCAGGGGGACCATCATGTTCATGTTCATGATGATGATCATGCAGAGCACCACCGGATACCGCACCACAGGGCCCACACCACAGGGGGGGGGGCGGGGGGACCCCACACCACAGGGGAGGGGAGGGGGGGGATACCGCAGGGGCGGGGGGGGAAAAGCACCACAGCACAGGGCCCACACCACAGCGGGGCGGGGGGACCTCACACCACAGGGGAGGGAAGGGGGGGATACCATGGGGGGGGGGGAGGGGGAGGGGGGTGGCAGCCCTGCATCATATATGTTGAGGTTGACAAGAACAACTTTGCCGCATGCCGCTTGCCTTTCTGGCCATCTTGCTCCGGTGCCAGAGATGGTTTCTCCAACTTGGAGTTTATTATGGGAAGGCTCTTTTTGAATTGTGAAAGACCATATCTCCTCTGGTCGCCTCTGTTAATTTCTGCCGGAGCTCGCGTTCGACTATGTCTCCACTGCACATTGCAGTGGCTCGACCTGTGTGTAGCTGTCGACTGCTTTTTGCAAAGCTCCAGGTCGCTCCTGCCCACAGAGGGTTGCCACAGGAACGGCCAGTGGCGAACCGTCAACAAAGCTGTGCTCGTGTCTGCTTTGGCGTTCACCCTACACCGTCAACTTTGCTTATAGCTCTTTTCTACATTTTTCCGCTTTGACGTTTTCCTGTACTAATATTCGGATGACTAGTCACGAACCCTGCAGTGCGCCGGGGGGAATAATCTTCTTTCCTGGCGTGCGAAGCCGTCCAAGACGTGATCTGATGAATTCGGCATGCAGAAGGGGATTGGGGTGGAGGCTAGGGGAATAATGTTCACACCTCATGAAGCGCGCTGGATTGTTCAATGTTTTTCGATGGTCAAATGGGGCTGGAAAACTAACCCTAGTCCGGCTTTGGCCCCCTCGATAAAGGTGCACAGTTGTTTGCATTTGCTCACTTCTTTTGCGCATTCTTACTCGCTCTTCCTTCTATCCACAAGGTGGCAGAAGTTGTTCCAAACTGTGGATTTTGATTTTTAAAGTGCATATAGGATCTGGAATGGATATGGATTCATACAGACCTTCTTCGACCTTTGCCAGGCTGCTGATAGGCGGTCCTGAGCATGGGCTTGCTTTGCGCTACTGAGAAGAACGAACGATACAGCAAAACTGAGAGAGATGGAGATAGATCTCGCAGGCCACGGCAAAGGTGGCAACAGTCAAATGGATCCAAGTGAACGCAGCACGGAATGCTTCCAAGGTATCCTGTGTTATGTGGCGGGTGGGCTGTTGGCAACCCTCAGCTTACGACGTGCTGGGATCACTGCGCAACTTGTCGGCCTGGGGACGTCGGGAGATGTGCAGTCACGGTTTCTGATCGAAATGAGCTTTGAGTCGGTTCTTGTTCAAGGCTTCTGGGCCCTGTGGAAAGACGCTTCGACGAGTATGCGGAAGAGATGGGTAACTTGTTTGAATCCGGGATTCGATTCCTGCTGAGTGCTTGCCAGGCTTTTGAATTCCCTTGCGTTTGCCGCTCTCGTGGAGGATTCCTGCAAGACTGGCGGAAGGTCTCTCTTCGGCGGTTCTGCGACTTGGTCGTTTTGTCGTTGTTTTCTTGTTCTCATAAAACCCCACGGCATGTCAAATCCAGATCGATGTTGGCACAAGGACTGCTAGACCTGTTTGAAGGTGACGAGTGCTCGAACCTGAGGTGAGGTGACTGCAATGTACGTCTTCATGGTGTCCTGCCGGGTGCTGGCAAGCGTGATCACCAAAGAAGTCGCTCTGTCGCATGTCGACGTACTCCGAATGCGGAGTGTGTGCGCCCGACAGAAGTGTCGAAAGCCCGGATGCCTCATGAAATCGAACGGCTCTGTGCCATGCAAACCCTGTTCTGAACCTAGTCCCCTCAACCTGTACCTTGATTAACAACACTCGAGGGGGCCCTCTCGCTTTCTGATTGGGATTTGCTCGTCTCCTGTTCTGATTGGTCAATTGACACCCAAGGTGACCTATGGTAGCGCGGTGGGCGGAGGGTTAGCAACTGCCTTCCCGAGCTTCGCCTTTTCCCTCATTGCCCTGACACTCTCGCTGATCTGCTACTGCCGCTTGAGATCGCAATATATGTGTCCTGGAGACAGAAGTTGACCTTCTCTTGGAGTGTTCGGAAGAGCAGCTGGACACAGCTTACTAGCGAATTCAAGGCCAGCTTCACGTGTGCTGTGGGCTGGAGCTTGCCATAGACAGTTTCGGCCTTCGCATCTCTGCTGCATGCTTGGATAATTTCTCTAGCTACTCGGCTAGTTCGTGAGCCGTGTTTCTCCGACCAGGTTTGTTCCGGGACATGAACATGGAAAAGGCTTTGGAAGAGTGGAACTTGGTGCAGGCGGGTCCGGGGCAAAGTTCGTGGTTCCACGTGATCGCAGACTTGGCTCGGGCTCCTTCCAGGCGACTCTGCGGCAGACCTCTGGTGGCCCGGCAAGAAAAGCGCTGTAAAGACGATCCGTGCTTGTAGGGCAATAAGGGCAAGAGCGAGACATTAGACATGACATGTCCAGCCGTCCAGCCTTCTCTTGATTTACGTACCGGAACCGATACCGTCAACCCTTTCGAATCCGTAGGACTTCAAGGCTGCGCAGCATCAATCTTGGCTGAGTTGTGATTGCAAGGGAAAATCAGCGGCTCCCTCTTCATTCTTGGAGCGACAAGCTTTGCAACGCTGATGTTTGCTGGCCGCAGCTAGCTCAACCCGAAAGGAGTGGAATGTCTAGCAAGGTGTGCTTTTGCTTGCCTGTTCGGTTCTGCTTAATGAAAGTCGCTTCGTCCCTTGTTTCTCACTGCATTTCCCCTGCCTTGCCGGTCAGATCACAGTGCTTGTTCTGAGGGTAAACCTTCATGATTGTGTAAGTGCTGCATTCGCAAGGTTCCTGGCGGAGCAGCTGCTGAACAACGCAGATCTGCTGCGGCTGCCAAGCTTTTCATTGCTCCGACATGCTCGTGATATACAGTTCAGCCTGCATGAGCCGCCATCATGTTCGATGAGGCATCGTTCAGGTGCTGCTGGCCATCCTGTTTAGACAGCAGCTAGAACAACGACCAGGATATAAAGATAATGATGACATCTGCACGATGGGCACTCCTACGAGTGTCGGGATACTCATGCACGCGTGTCGACGATTTTGGCAGATGTGCTGTCCAAGGAACTTGTCAACGAATCTGGTCGACACCTGCTTGTGGTTGGGATGGCTCTACCCGCCCATACTGTTGCATGACGCAGATATAGGAATGGGGTCAGTTTTGGACGCTAGTTTGTGTTTTTCTGGTAGCAGGTTTGTCATCGAATGATTTAGGGTTCGTATTGCCTGCTGCGAGTCGATGCGTATTTTCAGACTCATTGTTAACCTGTTCAGATTTCTTACCAGCCGCAGACCCGGAGCCCTCACCGTGGAATCGAGGCTGTTTGTATACTCGATGTTTCGCGCTGCTGCTGTTAGCGAGAAGGCCAGCCGCGTGGCTCCTCTTGTGTCCTGGACGAACGTGGGAAACGGAGGAGATCCGAACCCAAGGGTGAGGGTGACAATGACAACAACGATATCCCACCTGTCACACTCGTATTGGTGCCAACATCACCCGCACTTATAGGAAAAGCCAGAAACATAGCAATTTAACATGGCACAAGTAGTGACGTATCTAACCGTATCTAACCCAGCAGTGAATGCAGGTTGAGACTTCTTTTCCGCTTTGGATTTTGCCGTTAAGGGTGCAGCGGCAAGGCATCCAACAGGCCAGGTTAGCTGGAACGAAAAAGCCTTGCAAAGGTTTGGGCAAAAGCAAGAACTCCAGAATCAGCAGGTTCCATAGGGTTTGCGCAAATGGAACATCAGATCAGTATCAAATCTATGTTTGAGGGGTGCACGTGGCTTCATGGATGTCTGGGATGTTGCATCAAAAGGAAAACCCCAGCATTAAGAACACCAGGTCCAGCATAAGCAACAGGCCCGCACCGCAAGCTCGCCATAAACGAAGGCAGGGGTCAGACTAAGTTTACCTTATACTGTACATAAAACGACCTCCCTCTCAAAAAACACAGGTGCAAAAAACTGCCCCACAGAAAGTCTGCAGCTTTTTGCAGGTGCTGAGAGACCTAAAGTCCTTGCATTGACGGACATCGGTGGATCTTGCTTATTGGACTTATGAAGTGTCGGGTTTCGCACTTACATTCCAAGTGTCAGTGCTCAGGCCCGGGTAGCCATGCAAGAAGCCCAGAAAGGAAAAGGCCCAAACGAGCCTGCTGCCCCGGGCGCAGAAGGCAAAACAGAGCATACCCAAGAAACAGTACGGTACTAGATAAAAGCCCCTGTCTGTTCATGCACAGAGTCACAGCGATCCCATACCGACCTGCATGCTGGCCCTAGGCTCCCTAGACTCTCCGAAGCAAACACGCCTTACCATCCGGCGGACGCGAGATATGCGAACCAGCATTTGGAGCAGCGAACGGTGAAATCTTTGCACTGCTCGGAACATTGAAAAGAAAGACACTTCCCAGCGATCTTCTTCCACGTCCGCTGGCACCGAAGACATTAGCTTCACCAAGATAATCCAAAGTTAACCCAAGGTCAATTCCTGGAAGTTTGATCCGGAAGATCTCGGAGATGCTCAGTGGATGGATGCGGACCGGCAATATGCCTCTCGGACCTGGGGCCAATTCTGGGGTGGCTACGTTGTCCGATGTTGTCCGGGAAACAGACGCGGTTGCGATGGAATGGAACTCCGACCGAGGTCGTTCAGTACATCATCCAGAGCGAAGCCGGCTTCTACATGAAAGGAGTTCGGCTGACAGCTGGATCTGTTCAAAAGATGAGCCGCAGAGCTGCAAGCCTGGCAACACGGCATTGTACACTTGTCCAAGCATGCAAACGTAGCACGAAGCTGTAATGCTACGTGTGCTCATGAAGTCACCCATTGCAAACGTGTGCTACACGTAGGGGCGCAGAAAGCATGCCTGTTGAGCACCACACGAATTCAATGATGCAGTTTAGCTTGTGGTGTTAGCATTGGTTGCTTTGGCGGCGGCAGAAGTTCGAGCTTTGCTTCAATTCAGGCTACTACATGGCGGCATTCACGTTCAGTCTCTTTGCGAGATTTTTTGCTGACAGCTGACCGTGACGCTGTCGGCAGTTCACTGGGAGCTTGTATGCGAGGTAGCAGAATTCTTTAAAGGAGGCCTTGACACCGTGGAGACAGCGACATGCCATGACATCCGTAACCTGCTCATAATCTGTTATAATGATCATTTATCATACAGGGTCAGTCTGGGCGGAAGTTCAAACAATCAGCACGTTCCCTCCCTACACACTCAATCCTGGGAGCCGTTGGCCCCAAATGCCAGTTCGGGGAAGAAGTTAAGTAGCCTCAATGCGATCCGAATGTTGGAGAGCCAAGGCACCGTGGTTTGTTGCAGCTACGTCAAACAGCGATAGCCGAACAGTGCAAAGCAGGACCGCATCAGCAGGAGGAGCAGTGGCAGTACCAGGGGCAGGGGCAGGGCAGGAGCAGGACCCTGTCAGGCCAGACAGCTCCCGCTAGGCAAATGTCGTGCGCAACCAGTGCCGCAGTCTGCACAAAGCGTACTGTGACCATCAGCGGTGCTCAACAGAGCCAAATTACGTATTGGGAAAACAGGAAACATGCACAAACAAGTACAACCGCAGGGCCTTGGCCTATGTGCAGAACAACCAGCACCACTGCTCTCGGTGCTGCTTCAACCACGAAGTAGGCATGATTCAGCACGAGGGCGTAGGAATATCCTTGCCCTTCGATAGACAGCCGAACGGTGGTGGTGCAGTGGAAGATTAGAATGATCAAAACACATACCAGAACATGTCTGAGTGCTGAAAGCATAGACTTGGACAAACATCCCCAATGGCTATGTCCAAGAAAGCCTTCCTACTGGTGTCTGGCTCGTCGGAATCATTGCTCTCCGGCAAAGCCGTACGGGCAATGCTGTCAGGAGGAACGGAAGAGTAGTAAAAAATGCGTGTCCCAGAGGTTGGCCGAAGGCCACGGGGCCAGGAGAGAGGCTTGGCTAAGTGAAGAGGATTTTCCATCCTGCTTTCGGACCTCTTTCGGCCAGCGTGCCGCTGCTTTCGTCCGCCGCGATGAATTTTCAAGTCACATGATAAAGAAGTGAACAAAGCAGTAGCGCCTGCGCAATCTGGTCAAGAAGCTTGCAGTATGTTCAACAGAGCGTTGGTGAGCAAGCCATATTGCTGCATCAAGCCGATGCTGGGCCGTACTGGATCCACAACATGGCCGATTGTGTACCTTGAGAAGCACACAGTCTGCTTTGTTTGCAGACAGAAGGAATGTTTTCAACAGATCGGCTGCCACTGTATGAACCTCCAGTGATCAGCTGTCCTTGCCTGCCTTACAGATGGTGAAACATTTCTCTTCTGCACCAGGCCGCTGTTGCAACATCCATGCGTGCCTGTGGGTTGCCTTCGGTGCTGATCGCCTGTGGGTGCTGTTTAAATCCGATGCAGTGACTCGTTACGAACCGTGCCACATTCCTAATTACTGGCCCACAACAGTCTTGCTTTGAGCCACGGCCCTGGCCAGCTTCGATTGCAGTCCAAAAATATTTTAAGGCTTCGAGCTGCTTCGAGACTTCTGCAGGTGGGGGGACACATGACTCAGACACTAGCCACTAGCCGCTCATGAGAGACCGCAAGCACCCTTCGACTGCAAGTCTGCAGACGATACGACAGAGCATCGGCAGGGTTGCTGGAGAAAGGCAATACAGCGTGGCGAATCATTATGATCATTATGCATCGGTGGTCAAGCCGCGGGGTCAGGGGTCAGAGGTAATCATCCAGACGCATGGGCGGCGTAGGTGTATTGAACTTGAGTGCAGGCACCCACCCATCATTCTGGTCTAAAGCCGCCTGGGTCCACTAAGCTTTCGCAGCAGCAAGCCGCGCATGCTAGGGGCTGCCCGGCCGCCAGGCTTTGCTGGTAGGAAGCTGATAAACGCTTGACAATCTTGCTCGTGCGATGAAGGACGCCAGCCAGATGGGAAGGACATCGAAGCCTTGGCCACCTGGAGCGAGTGTTGAATGTCCACCAGCGTGGAGCCAAATTGGACCTGTTGCTTCTTGCTTTTCAACCTCTCGCCAGGTCGCTGGAGCAAGGGACCGGTGATCGGCCGGCGCTGCTGAGACCTCGTGGGGCCTTTGGACAGCGTCAGGAGTCCTGTCCCTTCGGCCAGCACTCTGCAAGTCTGGGCAGCAGACTCAGGTTCGCTCCCTTCCGACGCGCATGCGCAACGCCCGTGGCGCTGGCGACGGGCTGGAGTGATAGAAAAGATTTCGCAAGAGAAAACTTGCGCACTATCGTTTGTGAAGTGAGCTGATACTTCAAGCCTGAAGCCCAACTGTGTGTATGTATGCATGTATGATCATGTCCCTCCTCAAGAAGCTTCTTTGTTTGGCTGTTGCTACAGCCTTGCCTCTCCAGCAGGAGATCCTATGCACACGGGGTTTCCACTAGGATCTTCTTGTCCCTCTTTGGGTTTAGACTCCTGGACCCTTTGGGATTTTTGGGGTTTAGTCCCTTGGCACCCCTGCGACTTTCGGTGCTTGCAGTTTTGCCGGTCCAGATGGGCCTTCGTGATTTCGGTTTTGGTGCCTAAAAGTTGCATCGGTGGCTCTGGGGCAACTACCAGAACTGACTCACACACGTTTTCTGGCACTGCGGCTTCCTTCGCAAGGTCATTCGGTGACATGCAATATGTCATCCAGCCATATCTCCATTTCTTGGCCGGCATCTTCTCCCTGTCTCTCTTTCGACTGATGCGACCACTACGCCGGATCTGCAGATCCCGGTCTGGGAGATTGATCTCCAAATGTCTCCCGGCACCACCCCAGCAAGCTCTCCTGAGCCTATGCTGTGCTTGTCGCCCCTCCGGATGCTGCTTGGATTGGCGAATCTCTGAGACAAGGTCAGGCAAAACGACCACCGGCTACAGAACGCGAGCACCATCTTTGGGGCTCTCTGCCAGACTCTTACGTCTCCTCCTGTGCTGGAGTATTCCGACATGTGTATGGGGTGCTCCCAAGGGCCTTCTGGCTGTGCTTCCGAGAGCACAGGCTGATATAACGGATCCCGTTGGCAGGAGATACCCCGAACCTCCAGATCCTCTTGCAGAAGCAGTAGGATATCCTGCTGAACCCACGAGAGACGTTGTGCACCCTCTGCTCAATCCGCCTCGTGGGCCGCCGACTCCCACCCCTGTCAGGTTGGAACTACCCACCCAGCCACGACAGACCGTGCCAGCAGCGATTAGGGATGTCAACTGCGCGGCCATTGCCCTCTGTCCAGGCTTCCTGCCCGAAACCTTTAAGTTTCCCCTAGGACTCCCGTGTGACATTGAGGACTTGCTGGACGTGGCAGAGAGACATCTCGGGCCTCTTCGGCATACCTTTTGTGACCGGGTGCTTGCAGTCAGACCCCAGCCTGTCCCCATGTGTGCCACGCTTTTAGTGATCCCGTCCTGGGTTGCCTTTGCCGCAATTTCGGCGGTTTGCCTCGACTTGCGCAGCGTTCATCCCAACAAGCCAGGTCCACTTCTTGCGGTCTATGTTACCCGGCCCACGTGCCGATCTGAGCTACTCCGGCAGGCCGGACTCTACGGGACCATTCCCTGCCGAGTTTATCTAGGGACTGAAATACGCCCCCTCGAAGACGATGAGGAAGTGACGCTTTCCAACGGTTGTGTCATCACATTTGTCCGAGATGACACCTTACCTGACTTCTCCACAGACCTCCAGTATCGCCTTCAGATACCTGACATGTGGCCTGAGCACCCGCCTCGACTCCCGACAGTGTCACGTCAGGCCCTCCTGCTTCTACACAGTACAGATCGGTTCCTCTACAGGCCACAAGTCTCGGACATGCCTCTTGATGAAGCTGCGGCACTCTTCATCGGAGTCAATCGAGAATCTGTCGAGATTCATACGCCGGCGGATGATGGCTGTGACCGGGTGTGTCACCAAGGTGTAGGAGTGAGAGGGGTTTTAGCCTTCATAGAGCCCACCCTACTCCCGCCGGACACTCCTCAGTATGTGGTCTTTCTAGACCTTCGTCAGGTCGCCTCCAGCATCAAATTTCTAGTACTAAGCCAGCGCTTCATTCCTCGTGAGGATCTCACCGGCCTGGTGAGTCAGCGGCCCCCTCCGGGATGGTTCCTCCGTGTTACGGGAGGACGGCTCCGCCGCCGCCGCCTCGATTTTCGTCATGGAGCCACGCTTGTCTTTGGGTTTGAGTATGCACTCGATTCTGACCCGCCATCCGAGCCTTTTTCTCCTACCACTGATGAGAGTGATGGAGACTCCGACGACGATGAACATTCCGAGGGACAGGACACCACCACTGCACCAGCAGACTCTGAGGGAGAGCACCTTTTTCCGGAAGACCCGCGCTTCCGTCGCTCCGCGTCGAGGTCACGCAGTCGACCAAGACGAGGTCCCGACGGCTCTGCTCATAGGCAACACCAGTCAGCCGTTCCACCAAGCAAGATTTCCTTGCGACCATCCCTGTTCGGCCTGGTTGCTGCCTGTCTGCTTCCGACGAGAGGGACTGCATGCCGCGGCTTGGGCATTCAGCGCCCTCTCCATGCCATGCCTACCCATTGGGGATTTGTCGCTGAAAGTCGCACCATGTTGGTTCTTCACTTTCTCTTCTGCTCCAGCCTCGGATGCATTGCTGCGATGTGCCTGTGCACAGGCTTCGCCAGATGCCCACGTGGGTGCAAACTGCTATCCAGCCCAGAGTGTAGCAACCCCGACGATAGGCTTAGGCTACAAAATCTTCGCCGTGTTACCAGGGACTTCGGTGACCCATGGCCCTTTCCGGAGGATGAGGAAGGCCACGAATTTGATCACCTCCAGCCTGACTCTGCTTCAGAGGTGTCGGACTCGGAGTCCATTGCCTGGGCCACCATTCTCGTTTACGCGCCCATGTATGCACCAGAATGGTTGACGCTCGCCCTGCAATTCCCATCTACACCTGCAGAAGGCACACGCTTGATCCAGGCCGAGCGTGACCCTAGAAAGGTCAGGACATTCCCGCACCTTGTGCCGGCCTCACCTCAAACCTTTGAT